GCACAACCTCTCTGATCACCAAAGTAGGCCCTCAAGGGGCATCTCCCATGTGGGCTGTGTACTTCCTCATCTTGTAGTTTAACTTTCATTGCTGTTGGCTTGTCAATAGGAGGGATTTACCCTCCAGGTCATTCAGCTGCAAGGACTGACTATGACCACCAACCACTGACTTTTGACCACTGTGGATAATCAGTTGTGTAGAGGCCCATCTCACAGAGCAGGACTTACTTCAGTGGGGCTATAGTGTTCGCTTAGTCCGCTCATTGAGTGTGTTGCCTATAGTGATGGTTGAACCATGATGCTTTGACATAGTCTAAAGCTGTCCACTGATTTATTTTCTGTGAGGCTTCCCAGAGTTGCAGGCCAAGGTCAGCCACTGCTTCTGTTCTGCCGGGGGCCTTCCAGTGTGAGCTACGAAACAGTCTGCAGATGGCTGCTACTTGTGCTGGGTTTGGGGTGCCCAGGGGAGGTCCAAGGCCTGCTGCTGTGAGTACCACCCTGAGGCCACTTAGTGAGAGGTACAGGGCATGCTGAGTCGAGCTGCTGCTTGTTTGAGAGATTTTTAGGAGAATCTGAAGCATGAGCAAAACAGGCCATTTGTATGGAAAAGCTGCTGGAAACAGTCTGTAAGTTGTGAAGTTATATGTCATGGGGCCTTAAGGAACCATTGCTGGGAAGAGGGGCAGTGAGAGGGGCCACTGGGAGGGGCCAAGGACGAACAATGCGAGCCATGTTGATGGAGACTCAGATATGACTCTCACCTGCCAGCTCTGTGGGGGAAGGCTCATGCAAGGATCAATGGACTCTGCCAGCTTCTGTTTGCCCAGTGTTTGCCCTCATGTCAGATAATTTTGTTCTTCCCCAGATGTCTCTGTTGCTTTTCAAGTTGCAGTTCCAGCACTGAAGCTCAGAGGGAGTGAGTGTGACTAAGTCCCTGAATGGGCCCTTTAAGAGGAATTGCCTGGGATTCCAGCAGCCTTTGTCTTCCTCAGCCTCAATCTCTGCTGGTTTTTACAGCCAGAAATCATGAGGACTTCTCTTCCTAGCACTGGAACCCAGGGTTGGAGGTGGGCTGCTGGTATGGGGCTGGGACCCCTTGCGCCTCAAGGTAGGACTCCACAGCTGAGATATCCCTTCCAATTTTTATCTGCCACATTTTGGTGTGGTACCAGCCTGTTCCACATCTTCACCTCCCCTCACAGTCTGGATATGGCTTCTGTAATTCCCTAGTTGTAAGACTTCCATTCAGCCACATTTCAATTAGTTCTGAATGATGGTAACTGTAATTTAGTTGTAATTTTATTTGGTTGTGGGAGGAGGTGAGTACCACTCCTACTTATGCCACAGTGTCATTCAGAAGTGAGAGCTTCCACAATTAAATCTTATTGAAGATCCTTTCTGGGAAACAACACATTCTTTCGCCACATGTCCATGAAACTGCAGCATGGCCTCCCATTTCTGAGCACTCAGTTTTTTTCTGAATGTACTGTAGCTGACATAAATCCCTGTATAGTGGATAGTGAAAAAGTTACAAAAGAATTAATAATCAAAATAATAAACTGTGACTTCAATAGCTTAATTGCATAGATTTCAGACTTATCTTTTCTAAATACATTTATACATATTCTCAGTTAACACTACCATATGTAATGCTTCCTTGGAAGTACAACAGGATACAACACTAATGGAGTCTTTTAGCCTCCTTAAGTGTATTCATATTCCCATTTGTTCTTTTTAACAGTTATAATAATACTGTTTATATTGTGTGTGTATTCTTGAATTTATCATTTTAAAGATTCAAAATATAATCTATTACTATGTGATATTTTTAGATTTTCTTTGAACGCATCTTGAGACTTCTTATTAAGATAATGAAATCCCTTTAAATTTTACCCGAATTCCTTATTTATATTTCATAACACTAGAAAGTTATTTTTAATATTGAAGTAGTGAATGTCTTTTTCCTTGATGTTTTTAGAAGTCTACAAGAAGTTTATATAATGCTATTCTATCACTTTGTTAGCTTTATTTTATTAACTTTATCTTATAATATATATTTTAGTTGTCTTTTAAATTTAAGATATTTTGCCAGGTTTTTAAAATTAAAGAAAGATCTTCTTTGTAGTTAATTGTTATATTTTAAATATGCTACACATCAAATTTAAGGTATTCATGTGAACTTTACGTTTCTAGATTTTAAAAATAGCCATTATCCTAAAACAAACAAAAATCTTCTATTCACATTAAAGCAAAAACAATCATGAGTATTTTTATTTTATAACTAGTAAGGTCACCTAAATCATATTTAAGAAAAATAGTTTATTGTTTTTCTACCTTTTATTTATTTATTTATTTTTTATCTTTGAATTTCTACTTGTTCCTTTCCTAAGCGTAAATGCTCTTTTGGAGGATTGATCAGTCAACCAGTATTTATTGGAAATATTTTATATGGAAGGCAAGGTGTTGTGAAATTCCCAGAGCATTTTAAAATTAGATTTCCACCCTATTTACTTAGAGAAGAAGGACATAATTATATCAAAACATAACTACAGATTCTATTATAGGTGGTAAATGAGAAGTGTTAGATCCTTTCAAAAAGTTTATTAGAAATCCTTTATAAATATCTTATTCTTCCTTTCTTAGCCTATTTACTTGAGTGAAATTGTGGCCAAAAGATTAAAATGAGCTTTCAAGCTCTCCTTATTAAAAATATTTATTGAGTTTCTATTACTTTCTGTGCCAAATACTTGGCTAAAGGCTTTTATATTATCTCATTTGAATTCTTGTGATAACATCTGAAAATAGGCATTTTCATTCCCATTTTCAAATGAGGAAAGTGAGACAGAGTGTGTAAGTAACTTGCTCATGGTTTCCCTAATTATTAGTTCAGTGGGCTTTTTTCTACTTATGTTATCAATGAGTCATGATTCTTTCAATGATGATAGAAAAAGCTATGTGAGTGAAGAATGATAATAAAGATTACAATTACAAAAAAAAAAAAGGGTGAACAGACCTTTCTCTACTGATATACAATATTAAATATTTTACATAGACTCATAATAGGTTGTTTATATAAATACCTAATTATTATTCCATGGGTCTTTTCACCCATGTTAAGAAATCCTGTATTGTATAATTCCAAATTTGAAAGTCTTGAATACAGTGATAACTAAGGATCTATTATTCTTATGTTTTAACTAGTGCATGAAATTCGTGCATGGGGAGTGGGTGTCCCTCAGCCCAGCATGCACCTTCTTCAATCTGGGACCCCTCAGAGTATGTCGTATTGCTGGTTTACAGGGAATGGGCCTAAACTGGCAGTTGGATAACACTCTCACAATCCGGGACTGCTGCCTCCTAAGTGCTCACCTGCCTGCCTGCCTGATTGCCCCTAACCACTCTGCCTGCCAGCCTACTCACCCCCAACTGCCCCCTGTTCACCCCAAAATGACTCCCTCCAGCCTGATCACCCCCAACTGCCCCTTGTGCCAGTGGAATCATCCTCAACTGCCCCCCTGCCAGCCTGCTCTTCCCCAACTGCCCTCCCCTGCTGGCCTGCTCATCTCTACCTCCCCTCCCCACTGATCTGCTTGCCCCCAACTGCCCCCTTGCTGGCCTGCTCACTCTGAACTGCTCCCTTCCTTTCCCCCCCATCCTGATCACTCCCAACTGACCCCAACTGATGGCCTGCTCTTCCCCAACTGGCCCCCCTGCTGGTCTGCTCATCCCCAACGGCCCCCTCCCCACCAGCCCACAACTGCCTTCCCCTATTGGCATCTAACCTCCTCTACCTCAGCCCCACCACCATGGCTTTGGCCAGAAGAACATCCAGAAGGTCTCCTGGTCTAATTAGCATATTACCCTTTTATTAGTATAAGTAGAGGCCTGGTGCATGGGTGAGGGCCAATTGGTTTGCCCTGAAGGATGTCCTGGATCAGGGTAGGGTTCCCATGGGGGTGTGGGCAGCCTGGGTGAGAAGCTGACAGTTGTTTTCTGGTTGACCACGCCTCTCCCCTCCCCGGGACCCAGGTTCCAAGCCCCTCCTTTTTTTTCCTCCAGCTCTTCCTTGAGCAGTGGCTAAGACTGGCTGGAAGCCTGGGTCGCCCCCAGTGACCCAGGCCCCCAGCCACTTCTTGAGTGGCTGGCCAGAATCTTGGCTTCTTCCATTTGGGGGGGGCAGGGCGTGCTTGGTGCAAACAAGCCTCCTGTCTCTGCTATCTTTGTTGGGTTAATTTACATATTTGCTCCTGATTTGGCTGGTGGGTAGAGCAGAGGGACTGTCAATTAGCATGTTTCTCTTTTATTAGTGGATAAGTTTTCAGTGTTTAATGAATAATAGAATATTATGTCCTGTTGTTACTAATAATGAAATTAATTACTAACAATGATAAGTAATAAACAGGAGTAAAGATTACTTAAGTTTAGTATATAAAGTATTAAAGAACTTAATTGTTAAAGTATATTTAATTAAGTATGTCATGCCTAATTAGGCATACTGGGTTTTTGTTTCAAATTCCTTTCTAGTCTGAAACTTTTGTGATATTATGTGGTACCACTTTTATCATTTTTATTAGCTAGGTATTGAACTTTAGGTTCAAATTTTACTGTTTTGCTTTTTCAAGATATTCTGGTAACTGTCATCTCTTTTAAAACTAAAGTGTATTTGGGAAAAAGAGGCACAATATAGGTGAATGAGATGTGCTCTTTGCATATAGCAGCTCAAACTGCTATGCTATGCTTCTGGTAAATTCAAGTTCAGATCTTGCACAGGTACTGTGATTCTTCTTATCTGACTCAAACTCCAGAGTGCCTCTGCCCTGTTCTAAGCAGACAGTATCTTCACAGTTTCTATGATATACTTTTCCAGTAAAGCTAATGGAAGAATGGTATTCACATGTAAGATCTATTCAGCCAATTAATTGCAGTTGTCTATAGCTAGGTGTTTTCACTGTCTCTTCTATAGGTAAATGGAAAAGTCATTTTTATTGTCTTTGTTTCAGCGTTCTTACTTCCGTACTCTGCTCATGTATGGATTCCATTTCCTGGTGTGGTTCCTTTGTGTCAAAGGAATCAGAGACACACAATGTGGTTTCAAATTATTAACGAGAGAAGCAGCTTCACGGACGTTTTCATCTCTACACATTGAACGATGGTAGGTTCCTAATTGGAATGTATTTGGTATATCTTATTATACAACGTTATTTCAGATAATAAGAAGCAGGCTTCTATTCTCATAATGAACAACCAGGTTTAAACAGAATTGACACTTTTTATATGTAATCTGTGCCTTTATACTTTTACTGGTTGGATATAAAGTTATGAATCATTTTAATTATAGACAGTATAAATTGAGATGACTGAAAAATCCAGTGTCCTTAAGCTTTCCTTTTTTTTCTTTCCTTTACATGAGTTAAGTTCTCTCCGCCTAAGACCAATCTTCTGCATCTCCTTCCACCTTCTAAGAACTTTATCTTGTTTGCTTTTCTCCTCATTTAGTCTTTTCCCCTCAATCGAATCTTTCCCATCGGTTTTGAAAACAATTTTAAATTTCTCTTGCCATTTAAAAAAAATTCTCTCTATTAACACCACCCCACCCCCTCAGCATCCCTTCAGCTCTAGCCCTGTATGCTTTCATAGCTGACCTTTTCTTGATAGAGTGGTCTCTATTCACTCTCACCATTTTCTCATTTTCCACTTCACTCTTCACCCCACTTTAATATGAATTTTCCCTTATTCCTTACATCTAAACATATAGTTACCTTTATGTTGTTAAGTTCAGTGGTCATGTTTTATATGACAATTTATTGTCTTACTAGTAATTAACCCATCAGGAGCTCTCAATGCTTCTGAACTCTCTATCTTGAAATAAGTTGGGGATATGCCCCCAACCAAGGTACATATCCTTGACGGGAATCAAACCTGAGACCTTTCAGTCCGCAGGCCGATGCTCTATCCACCAAGCCAATCCGGTTTTGGCATGTGCATGCCTTTTAAATTATTTATTTGGACTTGGTTGACATAGTAATGACTTGACTTAAAATTTTAGCCTCTCACATTTCTTTATGGTCCGATTATGTTTAATTTGGACCTGTAAAAGAGAACTACCAAATATGCATTTATCAACTTAATTCCTCAGCATATCTTTATCCCCATCATGGCTACTGTATTGAACAACATAGTTCCAGGATATTGGGAAAGTTTTGGTTAAAGAACATTTAAAATTTTTGTTTTTCTTCTTTAAATGTTATGCTCATGTGCATGCCTTTTTAAAAATATATATATTTTTTATTGATTTTTTACATAGAGGAAGGGAGAGGGATAGATAGTTAGAAACATCAATGAGAGAGAAACATGATCAGCTGCTTCCTGCACACCTCACACTGGGGATATGCCCCCAACCAAGGTATATATCCTTGACGGGAATCAAACCTGAGACCTTTCAGTCCGCAGGCCGATGCTCTATCCACCAAGCCAATCTGGTTTCGGCATGTGCATGCCTTTTAAATTATTTATTTGGACTTGGTTGACATAGTAATGACTTGACTTAAAATTTTAGCCTCTCACATTTCTTTATGGTCCAATTATGATTAATTTGGACCTGTAAAAGAGAACTACCAAATATGCATTTATCAACTTAATTAGCAGTACTTTCTTTACCACTTTTCATCAATAGTTGTCATTTAAACATTTTTTAATATATTTTATTGATTTTAGAAGGGAAGGGAGAGGGAGAGAGAGATAGAAACATCAATGATGAGAGAGAATCATTGATCAGCTGCCTCTTGCATATTCCCTAGTGGGGACCGAGCCCACAACCCATGCATGTGCCCTTGGCTGGAATAGAACCTGGGACCCTTCAGTCCGCAGTCCGATGCTCTATCCATTGATTGAGCCAAACCAGCTAGGGCTGAACATTTCTTTAAATCAAAATCATCTATACTTTTTAGTCAAGAAAGACTTAAAAAATTTTTTTTATGTATTATAGTATAAATTATAGAAATTAAGTTGTGCATTTGTTTATTTTCATATGTCACCTGAGACTTCTTTCTTAAAGAATTTATCCTAAAGATTCATTCAAATTTTTCAAATAAATTTCATTAAAACCCAAGTTGAGTTTCTAGGTATTAGAAAACATATAGCTGAAGTTAAAAGACTAGATATTTCTTTTATTAAGAATTAGACTTGAGTATAGGTAATGTTAAATATCCTATATATTAAAAATCCAGCGACCGAAATGGTGGAACCACCAGAATGACCAGAGACCAGAATGACTGTGACCCCATGCCCAAGTTGATCCCACCCCGTAGCAGTGACACCCATCCTCATCAGGGGCATGGCCAGCCTGCAAACCACCTGTGGCCCATTGTCCCAGCTGGCCTTCACCCAGAGGGGATACCCACCGTGATCTGGGGCCCCCATCAGGGCAGGCCAGCCACCACCCCCATGTACCAGGCCTCTCTATATAATAAAAGGGTTATATGCAAACTGACCCTAACAGTGGAATGACCAGAATGACAACTTGACCAGTCACTATGAGGTGCACTGACCACTTCTTGGTCCCTTTCCCCGCCCAGCAGGCTCCAATCTCCCAATGGGGAACGGGGAACCAGGGATTCCCCGTTGAATTGGCAGGGGACATGCATAGTGCCAATTCAAGGCCCCCACCCCACCAATAGCCCCACACACAGAGGGCAACATGCAGCAGGGCAGAAACGGCCAACCTCTCAGTCCCTTCCCCTGGCCAGCAGGCTCTGTTCTCCCTATGGGGAACAGGGAACCAGGGGTGGGTGGCGGATGATGGGTAGCGCCAAGCTAATGCTCCTACCCTGCCAGTTGCTCACCACACAGGGTGTCCTATGGCAGGGGGTGGGGCTGCAAGTGGTAGGAACAGCCAATCTCTCAGTTCCCCCAGCCAGCAGGCTTTGATCACCTGATGGCGAACAGGGAATTAGGGTGGGTGGTGGCGTATGGTGGAGCTGGCTGCAGGTAGCTGGAAAAGATGATACTGACTGCAGGCCAGACCTAGGGACCATACCAGCACACAAATTTCATGCACTGGACCTCTAGTAAATATATATGTATAGAATCTCCATCCTCACATGTACCTCAGCTAAATTCTTTCTATTTAATCTTAAGGTGTAATTTAGCCCAGTTTATGAGTAAGTTTAAAACTGAATTCTTTTGAAATGTATTTTCTTCTGATAAATACTTTCTCTTTTTAATCAATGTTATACATGTTTCTAATTTAAAGTCAGCCCCATTAGGATTTTAACAAAAAACAAACAAAAAAACAGTTATCCCTAATGCCGTTTTCCACCACCCCCAATTAATACTCTCTAACTATAGCCACTTTCAACATTATACTGTTTTTTGTAATATTTGTTTTCCTAATTCAGAATGGTTCTGCATAGTACATGTCCATTTTTCAGTTTTATATATTACTTTTTGAAATAGAAAATTAATGGATACCTAATTAGTTCTCTTAAATTTCTGTGTCCCCTCTTCACTTATTCTCCTAGTATAGTTGAAAAATAATTTTTGGTTATATCAGTATTGAGATAATAGTTACAGCTATGTAAAAATAATTTATATTTACCTCAGTAGAGGACAGGTAGAAGCTGGGAGGAGGTTGATATTTAAGAATATAATAGCTATCTTACGATTTTGATATATTATATATATCATATTATATTATATTATATTATATTATATTATATTATATTATATTATATTATATTATATTAATTTATTATATTATATTATACTAGAGGACCGATGCACAAAGATTCGTGCAAGAATGGGCCTTCCTTTTCCTGGTTGCCGGCACCACCTTTGCTCTGTCCGGAGCCACCTTTCCGCCTTCCCAGAGGCCCAAAGTGGCTGGGGTGGTGTGTAGCACCTGCATAAGCAAATTAACCCACCATATCTGTGGGTTAATTTGCATACTCACTCCTGATTGGCTGGTGGGTGTCACGAAAGTATGGTCAATTTGCATCTTACTCTTTTATTAGTGTAGATTATATTCCATCAGGAGTACAAATTCTCCTCCTTGGATGTTACTTTCTAGTTCTCTGGCCTCCTGTGCAGTTCCTATTCTCCCTTTCCTTTTTCTTGGTTTATACTCCATTTGTAGTAGAGCATATCCTCTATTCAATTCCCTAAATTATGAGAAGGCAACTTTGAGATTTTGCATGGAAAAAGGTATCTTTATTCCCAAATTTATTTAATAATTAGCTGGAGAAAAAAGTGTTTTTATGTAGCTCATTTCTGTAGATGATGTAAATCTTGATATGGCACTATGTTATGTTGTCTCCATATACCCCTATCCCTGCCCACCACCTTTGGAAGTATTCAGGAACTTAGTACGTCCATTTTTTTTCAAGATTTTTTTTATTGGTTTTTAGAGGGAAAGAGAGGGAAATACCAATAGGCTGCCTCCTGCATGTCTGCTACTGGGATTCAGCCTGAAGCATAGGTATGGGATCTGACCAGGAATCATACCAGTAGCTTTCCAGTGCATGGGACAACACTCCATAAACTGAGCCACACCTCTAGGGCTTAAATGGTTATTTTTTTAAAAATTAACTTTTTTGTTGAGAGTATAACAAATGTCAGCTTTTTATTGTTATTTTCCCCATTCTCTCAGGCAGGCAGAGGCAGTTAGGGGCAATCAGGCAGGCAGGCTAGCAGTTCGGGGTGATCAGACAGGCAGGTAGAGTGGTTAGGGGTGATCAGGCAGGCAGGTGAACAATTAGAAGCCAGCGGTCCCAGATTTCGAGAGGGTGTAGGCCGTGCTGAGGGACTCCCTCACCCCATGCACACACCCTCCATGCACAAATTTTGTGCACCAGGCCTCTAAGTTAGTGTATAAAGGTGCCATCAATTTCTGGGTGTTAATTTTGTATCCTGCTACATTGCCAAAATATTTTATTAAATCTAGTAGTGTTTTGTAGGATCTTTAGAGTTTTCTATATTCAATATCATGTCATCTGCAAATAATGATGGTTTTACTCCCTCTTCTCCAATTTGTATGCCTTTTATTTCTCTTCTCTAATATTGAATAATAGTGGTGAAAGTGGACATTTCTGTCTTGTTCTTAGGAGAAATGGTTTTAGTGTTTGCCCATTGAGTATCATGTTGGTTGAAGGTTTGTTATATATGGCCTTTATTAGGTTAAGGTATGATCCCTATATTCCCATTTGCTGAGAGTTTTTATCTAAAAAGATTGTTGGAATTTTCAAATGCTTTTCTGCATCAATTGTTAGGATCATGTGGTTTTTGTTTTCCAAGTTTTTTATGTGATGTATCACATTTATTGATTTGAGAATATTGTACCAGCTTTGCATCCCCAGAATAAGTCCCACTTGGTCATGGTGTATGATCTTTTCAATGTATTCTTGGATTTGATTTGCTGATATTTTGTTCAGAATTTTAGCCTCTATATTCATAGGGGATATTGGCCTGTAATTCTTTTTCTTTGTGCTGTTTTTACCTGGTTTTGGAATTAAGCTAATGATTTTCTCATAAAAAGACCTTGGAAGTGTTCCTTACTCTTGGATTTTTGGGGGGAATAATTTGAGGAGGCTAGATGTTAGTTAGTTCTTCTTTTAATGTTTGGTAAAATCCCCCTTAAAGCCATCTGGATTAGGGCTTTTGTTTACTGGGAGTTCTTTTTTTATTACTGCTTCAATTTCATTAGTAGTTATGGGCCTATTCAAGTTTTGTGATTGTTCCTGGTTGAGTTTTTGAAGATTGTATTTTTCTTGGAATATGTTCATTTTGTTCAGGTTGACCAACTTACTATATAGTTGTTCATAGTTTGTTTTTTTACATCCTTTGTATTTCTATGGGGTCAGTTCTTACTTCACCTCTTTCGTTTTTGATTTTTTTATTTTTGGATCCTCTCTTTGTTTCTTGAATCTGGTTAACAGTTCATCAATCGTATTTATCTTTTCAGAGAACCAGCGCTTGGTTTCATTGATTTTTAAAACTTTTTTTTAATCTCTGTCATATATTTTTTATTTAATCTTTATTATTTCCTTCCTTCGACTTACTCTTCTAAGTTTTTAAGTTATAGGGTTAAATAATTTATTGTTAATACTAGAGGCCTGGTGCAGGAAATTCATGTACTGGGGGGTCTCCTCAGCCCAGCTTGCCCCCTCTCACATACTGGGAACCCTCAGGGGATATCCTACTGACAGCTTAAGCTGCTGTCTGGCCTCCCTTTGTGGGAAACAACCGGGCTGATCAGGGAAAGGCACCAGCCACATCACCCCACTGCTAGAGCCACTGCCAATCACCGCAGCCACCAAGGTGTTTTCATCAACACGGACTCCAGTCCCTTCACCATGAGAAAATGACAACTTTCTTTAGGCATTTTCAAGATGTGTCTTTCATAGGATATGCCTTTCTTTCTCTCTTTCTCTTTTTCTTTCTTTCTCTTTTTCTTTCTTTCTTCCTTTCTTCCTTCCTTCCTTTCTTCCTTCCTTCCTTTCTTCCTTTTTTTTTTCTTCTTTTTTTCTTTCTTTCTCCTCACCTGAGTATTTGTTTCCATTGACTTTTAGAGAATGTGGAAAGAAGAGAAAGGGAAAGACAGAAATATCAAAGTGAGAGGAATACTTTGATCGGTTGCCTCCTGCATTATCCCTGACTGGGGCCCCAGCCAGGGAAGAACCTGCAACTTATGTATATGCTCTTGATCAGAAACTAACTCAGACCCTGTGGTTGGCAAACGTAGGCATTATCAACTGAGCCAAACCATCTTGGACAGGTTATGACATTTCTAAGCCCTCCATCAGTGGACCTTCGTGTTTTTTTTTCCCCCAGGAGTGTGGTGGAAAAGCCCTAGATCACCTTTTTGGATTATTATACCCAAGTTACTAAGAATATTACCAGTGACATACAGGGAGCTTAGCCAATGTGTGGTCAGAAGAGGTGTTTCCTCTATAGTTCACACCTATCTCCTCATATCTCCAGCTCCGCCCCTGCCAAGGTCTAAAGCCTCCTGCCTTTGGCAGGGGATCCCCAGCTGGCTCTATCGCCAGGCTCCGCCCCTGGCCAAGGCCAAAAGCTTCTGGATGAGGCTCAGTCCCTGGGCATGGATCACCAGCTGGCTCCAATCACCTGCAGGGACCCCCAGCTGGTGCAGTTACCTGGCTCCACCCCTGCCAAGGCCGCAAGCCTCTGGCTGAGACTCAGGCCCTGGGCATAAACCCCCAGCTGGCTCCGACTCTGACCATAGCCAATGCCAGCAAGGGCAGGTGGAAAGCTTGGCTTCTTCCATGGCAGGAGAAACCCAAGCCTCCCTCCTTCTCTCTGGGGCCTATAGCCATCTTGGTTGGGTTTATTTGCATATTTGCTCCTGATTGACTTGTGGGTGTGGCTTGTGAATATAGTGGAGGTGTGGTCAATTTGCATATTACTCTTTTATTATATAGGATTCTTGTTCTTAGAGGAAGGTCTGTAGGGCTATGAACTTCCCTTTCAGTACTGCTTTTGCTGTGTCCCAGAGATTTGGGGTTGTTTTGTGATCATTTTCCTTTGTTTCCAGGAAGTTTTTGATTTCTTTCTTGATCTCTTTAATGAACCCTTCATTATTTAATAACATGCAATTTGCCACTATGTGTTTGAATTTTTATTCTAGTTAATTTCTAATTTCTTACCATTGTGATCTATGAAGTTGCTTGATATGATTTCAGTCAACTTAAACTTAAAAAGACTTTGTTTCCTAACATATGGTCTATCTTTGAAAATGTCCCATGTGTACTTGAATAGAATGTATATTCTGTAGCTTTGGAATAAAATATTCTGAAAATGTAATTATTTCTGGTCTAGTGTGTTGTTTAGGATTGCTGTTTCCTTGATTTTTTTTTGTCTAAAACATCTATCCAGCTATGTAGCTGCAATGTTGAAGTCCTCTACTGTGATTGTATTGCTGTCAATTTCTACTTTAAAATCCTCCAGAAGTTTTTTTTATATGTTTGTATTGGGTACATATATGTTTACCAGAGTTTTATCCTCTTGTTTTGATTTCTTTATTGTAAAGTGGCCTTCATTGTCTCTTGTAATATTTGAATTCTATTATGTTAGATATTAGTGTTACTACCCCAGCTTTCCCCCTACCCCTCCAATTTCATTTGCCTAGAAAATTTTTTCCATCCCTTCACTTTCATTTTCTGTTAGTCTTTTGATTTGAAGTTAGACAGCATAGGGTCATGTTTGAAGTGTGTTCCATGCAGTCTGAAAAGTAGGGTCTTAATGATTCAAGGATATGCTTTAGAGATAGTTAAAAGAATGTGGAGAAGTATAGCACAGGTAGGCATGCTTCTCTTTTTTATCTTAGTGCCAGTGAAAGGAAGCATTTGGTTGAGAGAAATTTTTAAGTAGATTTCAGGAAAACTGAGTCAGGATTCAAAAACTGTAAGGAGAACAGATTTTACTATACCAAGGGGCTGATTGAAGAGGAGCTTTGAGAAAAAAAACCTGTCTCATGGATAGAAGGAAGGATAAACTGGGAATTCAGACAAGAGATGATTTTAACATTGTATGTAAAAGCAAGACTATACTTAATCCCTATGCATGTATTTAATTATATTCAAAGGATATTCAGACTAGTTTATATTGTTTTTTCACTTTTAGTAATTATTGATACTATTATTGTCCAGAATGATCTGGAGAAGGGAAAAGGAAAAGATAGATCCTAAAGACCCTGTAAAGAAATCCTGATCTTTTGATAGGAGAATTGTGTAATCAAGCAACACAAAAGGCATTGAGAACATTCTGTTCAAAAGCTTCTCAGAGTTCTATTTTATCAGCTCTCTAAATCAGTTGAAAATGATCTCGATCTGTATCTTGAGTTAATTAAAACTGGGACTGAAAACCATCAATCATGAGACTTTCTAAAATTAAATGTTTTCTTAGGGCCAACAGGCTGTTTTTATCCCTGCGATTTTTGGAGTCGTGGTAGAGATATTTCTCATTTAAGTGTTATACAGTGACACCAAATTATTTTATTTGCCTTAAAGCTCCTCAACTGCTTAGCTTTTATTTGATCTTATGTCAATCTGACCATTAGTTTCATGATAGAAGCTTCATATCTGCCATGCAAGTTTATTTTATTTTTTTTAAACATGCCAGGGTAGCGATTTAGTTACATTCTTTTAAAAAATAAATACCAATATATTTTGTATTTCAGGGCATTTGATGTAGAACTGCTTTACATAGCACAGTTCTTTAAAATTCCAATAGCAGAAATTGCTGTCAATTGGACTGAAATAGAAGGTGAGTACTATAGATTTAACTTATCTTAAGAGGAGTAGGGGAGACATGAGAAAATACAGTTTCCCAGTAGTCTCCTGGCTCTAATGTTCTTTCTTTCTCCATCAGAGCCTCCTCAGCTATCTTAACTCTGACAACCAATTCCAGTGAGCATCTGCCTACTGCCTATTGCTTTCTATATTTTTTCAGTCTTGGGGTCTTCAATAGGCCTACCATCCTGCCCAAGAAATTCAGTAAAACTAGCTCTAAAATACAAGACCTGAGTTTAAAAGTAAAGTTTCCCTCCCTCCTCCCTCCCCCCCCCTTTCCTCCCTCCCTCCCTCTCCCATTTATTTATAAAAAAGAAAAGTTCCATCATTTCAACATATGTACATATGTGCTTTATGTTTTTTATTATTTATTTACCACATGTAAACGTCAGGAATTATTATCTTTCTTTTAAACTCCTTTTACTGTTTCACTTCATTACTGCTGTGTATATGCTCCATGTGAGTGATGTAGGTGCTTATGTAGGTGGGTTCCAACTACAGCAAAAATCACATTATGTCGCACCATAGAAACGGATCTCTGATGTAATCCAAGTACCTACTGTATATATTTATATGAAGTGATTACATTGTACACTTTAAATATATTTACATTTTGTCAGTTACACCTATGTAAAGCTAGGAAAAAATAAAGAGAAAGAAGCCAGAGCACTGGCCTTCCCTAAAATCTGAAAATTGTCAGTTTTATTAGTGTTGTGATTTTAGCCATATCACTTTACCACCCAGCATCCATGACCTAATCTGTAAAATTGTAGGGGTGATAAGGAGGCTCTATTCCTGATATAATAAAAAGACAATCCCAAGGAGTAAAATCAAGAAATATAAAATATTAAACATGTTCAGAGATGTATTTTATATAGTTAGCTGGACTTGGCACATTGCCACTTGGAAATTAAAGGACAAGAAGATGGCCTACCTAGGGTGGCATTTATTTTAGAGTAAGAGCCTTTGGTAGAATTAGAAAAAAAAATAGATCTTTGTCTTAGATTTCTTATCACAGATTATTAAAATGTACTTCTATTATTTGTGGTGGTATACTTGATTTTCTGTAGTATATATGAGCCTGAAAAATGGTATTTAAAATATGAAAAATTCTCCCCAAAATCACTTTTAAATGAACAGATAGACATAAGGTTTAACATACATACATAATATAAATAAAATTACAGTGCCTATTAACTAATAAAAATCATGTAAACTGACTACTAAAATTAATTATAAGGGGATATATATTCTGAGTTTAACTCAAATATTTTTAATTATTATTTAATCGCAGGTTCTAAATTAGTTCCATTTTGGAGCTGGCTACAAATGGGCAAGGACCTACTTTTCATACGACTCCGATACTTGACTGGTGCCTGGAGGCTTGAAAAAATCAGGAAAATGAATTAGGTTATTTGCTATTTTTGATTGTAATATGTATTATTGTGATATTATTTCATTTGAATTAAAATTTTAAATAAAGCTGAGATAAGTGTATGCCATTGTCTGCCTTTTGATATTGTAAAGAATTTACTGTCATAAGTAAAATTTTTTATATATGTTTTGGACAAAACAAATTTTAAGGTATATGTTAAAAAAATTTAATTTTCTTTTGCTTTACCCAAAAATAAGACATCCTCCAAAAATAAGACCTACTTACAGGTTTCCTTCTGACTGAAATATAAGGCATCCCCCCGAAAATAAGGCCCCCTCTAGGCTCTGACTTCTCTAAATACAATCTTTCCAACATTATTGCTATGGATAAAACTGCAGTGTTTATGGGCCAATCATCTCAAACATCAGTTGAACAGCGGGGTGCCTCCTTAGTGTACATTCCCTTCACTGCTTACGAAAGTGCATGTGTTTCCTGTATTTTGGCAATTCATCTGGATGGCACTAAAATCCCACCTTTAATCATTTCTAAGGGCAAGAAGGAAAAGATTGAATATATTTTGGGCATTTTTATTCTTGAAACTGAAAAAGCCTGGGCCACACAAGCAGTTATAAGGAAGTGGGTCGATTTAATGCTGCCACTTGTTTTGCAAGGGAGCCAAAGAGGTCTGCTTGTCTAGGATGCAGCCAGCACTCACTGCGCTAAAGACATGAAGACATTTCTTCTCAAAAAAAGAAAAAAAGTAGATCAGGTAATGATTCCCGCAGGAATAACAGCCTATCTCCAGACTCGATATTGCAATAAACAAGCCATTCAAAATCAATTTGCGTGTGGAAATTAATGACTACATTGAAAATAGAATGGAGAGAAATTAGTATGGAAACTTTGTGAAACCTAAACTTTAAGAAGTTGTGACTTGGGTGAAGAATTCATGGGAGAAAATCACTGACAGTTGCATTGCAAGCAGGCTACCTTGACAAGAAGTACTCATTTAAAGACAATGCTATTGCTAAACATGAGAGATTTGGTCCACTGATTCTGAAAGAAATGGAGTCACAAGAAATTCACCAGGAAATTCAGGAATTGGATTGTTATGATGATGTTCCAGGAGATGATGACATGATTGTCATTGAATAAGTGAGTAAATTCTTGATACTGTAGGATACCGTATCTTATACAGGTAATAAATTTCTTTTATTTTCATTTAACAATAAATGTGTACCGTATTCTTCTTCATGGAAAAATAAGACATCCCCTGAAAATTTAATATAAGAACTGTCTTATTTTTGGGGAAACAGGGTAGCAATTCTATTTATTTACAGTGTCAATATAGCCTGAGAAATATAATTTTTAAGAAAGACAGAAGCAATTATTTTTGCTCTAAGGCACCGTGTATAATTCTCATGAACTTAAATATAAACCACAACCAGGAAACAGTGGTCAGAGATCATAAATAAATAAATAAATAAATAAATAAATAAATAAATAAAAAGTTAACAACTCTGACCAGGTGGCTCATTTGGTTGAAGCACCAAAACAGGTTGCCAATTTGATTCCCAGACAAGGCACATATCTAGGTTGCATGTTGCATGCCTGGTTGAGGGTACAAATAAGAGGCAACCAACTGATGTTTCTCACATTAATTTCTTTCTCTTTTTCTCCATTCCTTTCTAAAATCATTAAAAAGATATTCTCAGGTAAGGATTTAAAACACTAACAAAATAAGAGGGGAGAAAATGGCGGCAGACTAGACCAATGTGTCTTGAACCTTGTCCCAGAGCAGATAGAACGAACAGCCTAGGGTCGCACAGGGAGTGTTTCTTAGCACATTAAAGGACAGCTATACTCCAGGAAAAGGTGGGGGACTCCTGAATGGGGCTCCCCTGACCGGGCAGCCCCCACTGCTGCAGGGTTCCTTTTTGGAACCACTGGCTCCAACACAGAGACCATGCCATTTTGAAGGGGAAAGTAGATGTTATTGGAAGCTTGAAAATCTACCACTGTAGCACCCACTGAAGACCTCCGAACCTGGTCCTCAGTTGGTGGAAACATAAACATGTAGAGGAGCTCTACAATCCACCACGGAAAGGTCAGATTTCACCAGGGATAAGGAAAGAGATAACTATATAACCAGATACCTGGAGAAGAGAGACTGTGGGGAGACAAACAAATAGCCCACATATGAAAGAAAGCAGGCTTCACCAGAAAAAGAAGTAAACGAAATGGAGGCAAGCAAACTGTCAGAGAAAAAATTCATAGAAATGGCCATAAGGTGGCTGAAAAGAATGGAAGACAAATTCGACAATATGAGTAAGAACCAAGAGGAAATGAAGAAGAACCCAGAAGAAATAAAAAATAACATCGCTGCTTTAAAGAACTCAATAGAAAGCATCAAATATAGACTAGAAGAAGGAGATGACCGCATCAGTGAGTTAGAAGACAAGATTGAAAAAAATACCCAATTAGAGCAGCTTCTGGAAAATTAAAAATTAGGAGGAGAGCTTAAGGGAAATTTGGGACAATACAAAACAAAACAATATTAGAATAATGGGGATTACAGAAGGAAAGGAAACAGGAAGACATAGAAAACCTGTTTAAAGAAATAATGACAGAAAACTTTCCAGATATAGGCAAGAAACACCCACACAAATCCAAGAAGCTCACAAAGTCCCAACCAAAATGAACGCCAAAAGACGAATGCAAAGGCACATTATAATTAAATTGGCAAACACCAACAACAAAGAATCTTAAAAGCAGCCAGAGAGAGACAGAAATTTACATATAAGGAATCCTCCATCAGACTAGCAACTGATTTCTCAACAGACACTCAGCAGGCCAGAAGAGAATGGAATGAAATATACAAAGTCATGTAAAGGAAAGGTCTGACTCTAAGAATACTGTACCCAGCAAGACTATCAATCAAAATTGAAGGTGAAATCAGGAGCTTCACAGACAAAAAAAGACTAAATGAATTTATCACCACCAAACCATCAATGCAAAAAATGCTAAAGGGTCTGCTGTAAAAACAAAGAAATAGGAATCAAAGAAGGAACACGGGTATAGAAAAAGATGGTGACAAATAAATACCTATAATAAATAACTTTTAATTAAATGAATTAAATGCCCCAATCAAAAGACATAGGGTAATGGATTGGATAAGTAAACAAGACCCACATATCTGCTGTCTTCAAGAAACCCACCTCAGAAAAAAAGACGTACACAGACTGAGGGTCAAGAAATGGAAAAAGGTTTTCCAGGCGAATGGAAAAGAAAAAAAAAAAGAAAGCTGGATAACAATGCTTATATAGGACAAATTACAAATTAGATCTCAAAGTGATGGACATAACAAGAGATAAGGAAGGCCACTTCATCATAATAAAGAAAATCCAACAAGAAAAAATAACCCTGGTAAACATTTATGCACCCAATATAGGAGCACCTAAATACACAAAAAAACTGCTGGAGGACATTAAGGGAGAGATTAATAGCAATACAATCATAGTAGGAGATCTTAATACTCCATTATCACCTTTTTTTTTTAACTGTTTAAACTTTAATTTTTTTAGTGATGTTTTTATTATTAAATTATTACCCGTGTACATATCTTACCATTACACCCCCTCCCATACCTACCCTCCCTCCCCAGAGTTCTGTGTCCATTGGTTGTACTTATATGCATGTATACAAGACCTTCAATTGATCTCTTATGTCCCCCAGATCTCCTTCCCCTCCCCGCTGTAATTTGACAGTCTGCTTGTTGCTTTACTGTCTCTTTATCTATCTTTTGGTTCATCAGTTTATAAAGTTCTTTATTATACATAAATAAGTGAGGTCATCTGGTGTTTCTCTTTCATTGACTGGCTTATTTCACTCAGCAATATGTTCTCCAATTCCATCCAGGTTGTTGCAAATGATGATAATTCCTTCTTTTTATGGCAGCAAAGTATTCCATTGTGTAGATGTACCATGGTTTTCTGATCCAATCATCTGCTGACGGGAACCTAGGCTGTTTCCAAATCCTAGCTATTGTAGATTGTGCTGCTATGAACATAGGGGTGCATATATCCTTTCTGATTGGTGTTTCTAGGTTCTTGGGATATAATCCTAGGAGTGGGATTACTGGGTCAAATGGGAGTTCCATTTTCAGTTTTTTGAGGAAACTCCACACTGTTCTCCACAGTGGTTGCACCAGTCTACATTCCCACCAGCAGTGCACGAGGGTTCCTTTTTCTCCACAACCTCGCCAACATTTGTTGATTTGTTGATGTTGGCCATTCTGACAGGTGTGAGATGGTACCGCAGTGTTGTTTTGATTTACATCTCTCAGATAATTAGTGACTTTGAGCATGTTTTCATGTGTTTCTTGTCCTTCCTTCTGTCCTCTTTTGAAAATCACTATCACCTTTGGACAAATCATCTAAAGAAAAAATCAGCAAAGAAACATCAATCCTAAATGACTCACTAGACCAGAGGGAATTAATTGACATCTTCAGATCGAATTAATTGACATTTCATCCCAAAGCCACAGATTATATATTCTCAAGTGCACATGGGTCATTTTCAAAGATAGCCCACATGTTGAGTCATTGGCAAAGTCTCTTCAAATTCAAGAAGATAGAAATCATATCAAGCATTTTCTCAGATCAAAGTGGCATAAAACTGGATATCAACTACAATAAAACAATTCAAAGAAATCAAATACATGAAGACTAAATAGCATGCTATTAAACAATGACTGGGTTACCAGAGAGAAAAAGAAAGAAACAACAAACAACATTGAAAACACGACAATCCAAAATCTATGGGACATAGTGAAAGCAGTCTTGAGAGAGAAGTTCATAGCTCTACAAGCCTACTGCAAAAGAACATAAAACAATGGTAACAAATTACCTAACCCTACAACATAATGAGTTAGAAAAAGAACAAGAAGAAAAGCCCAGTATAAGCAGAAGGAAGGAAAGATCATAGAGGAGATAAATGACAGAGAGACCAAAGAATTAATACAAAAGATCAACAA